TTTTAATTTTTATATATTTTTATACTTTCTTTACTTATAATTTAATATTTTTTTATAGTTTGGGCGAGTTTTATTTAAACATTCTTATTTCAACAAAAACATTTTTTTCGCACGCAACAAATTTTATCATCTTCATATCGTCGCTTCTATTTTTATGCTTATGTCATCGTATTTTTGAGCACCCACATCAATTTTTTCTGCTTATATCAAAATATTTGTTTGTCTACATAAGCATATCCGCCTGGCTTATGAGATCTAATAATATTTGTTTATGCCTTTGAGAGCAATTTCCGAATGCTCTAAATATAAACATATCTACAGCAACGCACTAAATTTCTAGGCAAATTTAAATTTGCTTACTTAGAAAATTTATAAAAATCAGCACATAAAAATGTTGAATGCCAAAATATGGTATCTAGAGGCAATAAAAATACATATATGTATACATACGAATATATTTGAACAACTGTACATACATACATAAGGCAACTTATATACTATACATATGTACATAAGTATAAGGTGCCTTTATATGGTTAAAATTATTATGAAAGCTTGAAAAAAGTTCATAAACATATTTTTCTCGTTTAACTGTAAACAAATAAACTCATTATGAAACTTAGTGAACCGTTAATTAGGTTCTCCACATAATATAGTGACTTCACGATTGTCAACCGGAGTTTTTTACGGCGAAATTTGTTTATTTTCAATGCTTTCTATGCTAATCTACGCATTCCAGTTACGTTGGCTTTCGCCAGTGGCTTCATTCGCCATAATTCTCACGAGCGGTTTTCCGTGCGCCAATTTGCTGTAAATTATTTGTATGATATTTTCTACATGGTTCTTCGCGCATGCGAATAACTGCTTGTCAACAAATTGTCTTCATACTAGTTGCGATTTTTTTCATACGCTAATCCAATGTGTGTATAATTCGCAACAGGTTTATATAATATATTTTATATAACTTTTGAAGCCACCGAAGACTTCTTTGTAAAAGTTTAGTACTTATTGTTGGATTTATGGTCGTGCTAAGTGCGAGCCGTTGAGTATAAGTTGGGAAAGAAGCCGTTAGTTGCGAAAATAATGATGGTAATATGTAATCCTTGCTTAATTGAGGTTATCAGACGCTTAGGACTCTTAACGTGCTTCTAATGCCACTTTAAATAACGACAACTCCTCGGAGGATTGTGGTTTACATCGAAGTGCATAGAGTATTAGATAGAGGCTAGTTCGAGACATGAGTTCTTGTAGAAAACTAGTCTCTGCACTAACATAACCTCACTTAGTAAAAACATTTAGACTTCCATCGAATCTAAAATATTTTTGTCGGCGCTTCAAAATTGTAGTTGCAATAATTTTCGTCGTCGGTCAAGCGCATCAACTTTGGGTACAGATTCCAGTTCTTCGAAAGTTGGCTTTTATTTAAAAATTATCATTTTTTTCTACTTTACAGCAAGCAATAAAAAAATGGTCAGCTGAGTGCTAACAGTTACGACAAAAAAAAAAACGCCAAATGCAACGGTACTAAATTTGAATAAATTTAACAGTTGTTCAAAAAACGAATACTCGCTCAATATAACGGTACTAAACAAGGATACTCAACTTTTTACTCGAAAAAAAGGTTAATGAAACGGTACTGAAGAAGGTTACTCGAATAAATGCTGGATAAAATTAGTACTCGCTAATATCACGGTACTAAAGAAAGCTACTCAATTAGTTAATAGACAAAACGGTAAATATTACGTTAGTACTCGCTAATATAACGTCACTAACGACGGTTATCCGAGTAGATGCTAGACAAAACGAGTGCTCGCAAAATATAACGCTAATAAACGAGTAGGCGCTAGTTAAAACGAGTGAAAGTAAATAAATATTTCCAAGTAAATTTAAAATACGCGCGTAACGGAACCAAAAAATACAGCACTCATTAATCACAACCCTATAATATCTTAAAATAATATGTATGCTGTTTAATTATTAAGCAAATTAAAAATTAATTTACCGCTTTTACAACAACTTTTAGTCAACATACCAAAAACACACAAAAAAAATTAACAAAAACAACCAAAATGAATTGCGTTGCAATACCACCACCGGAAGAGAAACAGCAACCGACACTGCAAATAATGCACAACGAACTGGTGTTGCCATCGCCGCACGCCCAACCGGATGTCAACAACTGCAGCAACAGCAGCGGCAACACATCAAAAACGCAATCACTGCAGCGCACCACACACCTGTATTGTCGCTCGTTGGAGAAGGAACGCGGCGATCGGCGCACTTCGTCGCGCGGTTTAGCTTCGTGTCTGCGCGGCGAACGTGATGAGTTCGTCGGTGATTACCGTGAGTTGCGTCCGCGTGCGCAACAAATCGATTTGCTGCCGACAGTTATGATTAGTCACGGTGGTGCGGGATATGGCGGTGCGGATAATGTTGCTGGCGCTGCAACGTCTGGTGTTGGCAATAACGGCGCTATGGAGTCGCATAATACCGATGCGAGTGGCAGGTGTAAGTGTTAACATTGATAAGTATATTCAATTGCTGTCTAAATGAGTTGACAAATGTCACTTTGACAGCTGTCAAGTCAATTAGGACACTGAAAATATACAAAAAAAAGGGAGAAAGTAGTGAATTATGCAAAAGTATGCTTTTAAATATCATAAATGAAAGTTCAGCTAGGGAAAATTATTTCAACTACTGTTTTTTTTTTTAATTAAATGGCAACACTTAAAATATTTTTGAAATTTAAAGTTTAAAAAATTTTAGATTTCTAAGCTTAATTATTTTTTAAATAATTGAGAAATTACGCCTTTTCAGTGCATATTTAAAAATAACCTGGCAACTCTACGCACGATAAATGATTTACCATATCGTACGTGCTGTTTAAGTTAATAGTTTTCATAAAAAATACTTAAATTAATATTTTAAATAATCACTCTCAATAAAAATTTAATAATAATAATTTTGACACAAATGATGGCAACCCTATTGCAAATATATAAATGACTCCTTATAATACTTCGTATCGTGTTAAGTTAAGCTATTAGTTTGCTAATCACTTTAAAATTAGTTGGCAACTTTAAAGAAAACATAAAAGTGGAATTGCGTGGCAGCTCAGTCTCAGTTTAAATAATATGGCAACTCTATTTATAATATATAACTTTGTCCATAACACCATTTTTTTATTTTAATTTTTGATGAAGCTAATCACTTTAAAATTAGTTGGCAACTTTAAATAAAACATAAAAGTGGAATTGCGTGGCAGCTCAGTCTCAGTTTAAATAATATGGCAACTCTATGCGTGTAGCAGCTTTATTCATAACACCGTTATTCTGAATTATTTATTTTTATTTTTTCAGAAGTTTTGCATTTATTTGAATGAAATTACTTTAAAAGTCTTTCAATGTGGCAACTCTGTATAAACTTTTTGTATCAAATATTTCATTATTTCTGTGTACAACGTACTCGCATATATCTTAATGATTTTCGGGAAACAAAAAGAACAGTGAAAACTGTTTGAGAATGATTTCACGCATACAAAACAGTTGACAGCATGACGCGCGACTGTGTCAGCGCGCTTATTCAAATTGTTTTTCCACATTTGGCGTGCAGCCGACAAAGCAAAAAGGCCATAAAAAGACAAATTAATAATTTTGCAATGAGTTCATCCCGAATTAATATTTTTTAAGGGTTTCCGTGCGGCAACAAGTGCAAATACATACATATAAATATGTACATATTATATATATGTGTGTATGTGATTGTGTTTATATTCATATTTTTTTTAAATACATGCTTTTATTTTTTTTTCTCAAATTTAAGCATGCAACATATGCAAAAGATTTGAAAATCATAAAATAATATAAATTATAAAAGAAAATAGTAACAAAAATATTTTTTTTTACAAATTTAAAGTCCTGTCTCTTATACACATCTAGATGTGTATAAGAGACAGCAAAAATATTTTTTTTTACAAATTTAAAGTCTGTAAAACTTATCTCTGGGATAAAAATATGAAATCCCAATAATAAACTAAAAACATTTAAAAAAATCTTAGATAAATAGAAAAAATATCAGTAGGACAAATTTTCTGGAAATTTATTTATTTACATTTGAAAATTTATATTTATGGATGGATTTATGGAAAAAAATAATGAAGTTAAAGTAACTATGTATGTATAAAAAATTTTTAAATGATATAATCAATTAAAAAATAAATATGAA